ACAAGTAAACCCATCAATCTCCCCAACGGGCATTCCTTTTTCTGCCGATTCACCGTGTCTGACGGTCACCTCAACATCAACTTTCACCATTAGGGATACTTGGTTGAAGGACAATGGCTGTGACACAGGGTTGCACTGCGAGACTTGCGTTGCCAACGGCAATATTCGACATAGATACCCGAATTCGTTGTTCATCCTCTCTTCTAAGGTACGCAATCCAAATTACACTGCAATCTTTTGATTGTCGAGTTTCTATTTTTATTTCTCAAGAATCCAGATTGTTTATTCAATTGGCAGTTGGTTTACAGAGCTTCACTATTTCTGATAATCTGTTTTTGATAATTGCTCCAGGTCTTAGGTTTATGTGAACCTCTTTCTAATTAATTCATGTATTGTGCTATTGCTCCATGTTGCTATGTTTTATTCCAACATGTTTATTGCTGTATGAATTGAAAGTTTTCATTGTACAATCAGTTGTGATTCATTTTCATTTTCTCTATATTTGCTTATATAAATCTTTAATGTGTTCATGACTTCTTGCTTGTATAAATCTTTAATGTGGTCATGACTTCTTGCTTGTTTGTTTCCTTTTCTCTGTTTGTTTAATATTATGTTATACCTTAAAACACTTAATATGTTTATCATTATGGTTTTAAGATATTTTTTATCTTAATTTCATTAATTCTGGTGATTAGGAAACATGTCAGTTAACAAGAGCTGGATTATGTTGCCCAATTGTTTGTCGGATGAGTACATGAATGGGGTTGCAACATTTCTTGAAAGAGCCCGAAATTATGTTGATGATGTTGGAAAATGCAAGTGATACAGAATCTGATTTTGTCATGATTTATGTCAGTTACAGATGTTTGATGTGAATTGCTGAATTTATGTTAAGTCAGTTGTTTATTTTTTATTTAAGTCAATTATTCTTCTTTCACTTGTTAATTATATAAATTACTTTATACCTTGCTTCTTTCATTGTTAGTAACAAATATATGGTTTCATATCTTGCTTATTTCATTGCTAATAAGAGAAATATTGTGGCTGCCTTTGATTCTACTCCTGCACCCACAATGGCTGTCAACTCTACAAGTAAAAATAAGATTGTAAGAACAATGCATTGTGTTTTTATTATTTTGATTACTGCTGATTATTATTATTTTTTCAATTATTACAACAACAAGACATGCGCGAGGAGAAACACGTTGTATTGCAAATGACAGAATTGTTAGTTGCTCTAGAAAAATGACTCCAGAATTTTGTCCTGATACATATAAAGCAATAGGAAAAGTAGGTGAAAGATGGTCATCTGAGTTAGGTTGGATTGCGCGCCACATGACCTTGCTCCAAGTCAAGGTGTGGAGGGAAATTCCACAACCAAACAAAGTGGCGATGCTAGACTCAAGGTAATAATATAAAACCACCTAATTTCTTTCGACAGAAAGTCTTGCTGAATTATAGTCATATTTTGGATATTATTGTTGTAGGATAAGTTCGAACGGAATGAGCCTGATAGAGAAAAAGAAGCCAAGATATTAGATTCCATTGACCGTCTGTTAAACAAGCAATGGAAAGATTAGAGGTGTCGGCTGCACAAATATTTCATAAAAAAAGCGTGGACAATCCAGAGGATGTAAAAAAAAAAACACACACAAATAGGTTCTGGTGCAGGCAGATTAGGATTCGTTATGCAACTATTGGTCGACTGAAAAGTATAAGGTAAGTCATGTAAAAACCTTCAAAGCATTCATACATTTTTTTTTATGTTATTTATAGGTTATGTAACAACTCCTTTTTAACTTTGCAGAAAAAATCAGCAACCAATGCTTTGAATTAGCATTTATGGAGCTAAATCATTTGCTTCTCACGTGTTTGAAAAGGTATTTCATTTTGATTTGTTATGGTTGTGTTTAAATTTATATCATTAGTAGAAAAACAGAGCTCCCCGTGATGGTTTATGTGATTTCCTGTCTTTTTAGGTTGCTCTTTCACTTTAGTTTGTTTCAAATATTCAACCAAGTTGATTTCACGCATGATGTGTATATGAGAAGTTATAAATCATATACTAATCTATATATACATACATACATACATCCACTTTCGTTTATAGAGAATAAAGTATAAAATCACTTTTGATGATCCTTTAGGTAGTTGTTATGATCTGCTAATGCCATTTAGTCACATGCATATTTTTTTGACACTTATTTGGCCTTAACAAAAGAAATATAGATGAAAATGAGATTTTTCAGTAGACAAAATCTTGTGACTATGCTTTGTGACCCATATTTATGATTTTCTCCTATTCATTTATTAATATTTAAATGGGTTGGTATGACAGAATTTTGTGACAGGAATGAGTAGATTTGTATCCTATTTTATGTTTAATGCAATTATTTAGCTTGTTCGATATCAATTGAAAGAATTTAATTATATGCAGTACTTTAAAGCAAATAGGACGTCTTTATCTAAGAATCAGACATTTTAATGCTTGCGGTAAAACTCAATCTCTGCTGACCATTTTTACAGCATTCTTTGGGACATGTTATGCGGTGGCACTCCTTGAGAAATGATTTATTTCGCCTAGTGCCTTGGCTCCATTTGGTGGTTTTGCTTTCATGACTCTGAATTATTGGAGATAGCACATATCACTCTGATATTAAGATTGTGTTCTTTTGCAGTAAAAAGCAAAGGAGCTTGATAATTCTAGTGAATTGAGCTCTGTCATGATATGTGCCATCACAAGGCTAAGGGTTGGACTGGGACAGTACCAGAGGAGAACTATTTTGCAAGTTTTTATTTATTTATTTTTGTGTTTTTTTTTATAATTCAGTATTCATTAGTTTTTCTTTTCACTTGTTTCAATTGACAGTACAAGATGATAGATTTGCAAACTCAAATTGGCCATTCAAGTGATGCAGCTGAGGGAAATAGCTCTGAATAGCCCACATTAATGACGGAAAAAGATATAATGAGTAATGTCCTTGGCACATGATTGGTACATAATCGGAGCGGGCCAAGCACCAAGAGGGGGTCCGAGAAGGAGGAGAACAGAAAATGGTTATTTCTATACTCAAAGTCAGGAACAAATGCAACCTTCAAGACTCTATAGATGCAGATCGATAATCTTAAGAACTTGGATGCACGTTGACAAGTGGAGTTTGACAGTCTTAAGAACTTTGTGAAGTCTATGTTCCCACATCATGAACCTCCTTTTGGTGACTTAATCTCGTTTGGAATAGTGCTTCTATCTATCTTTTACTCTTATTTTAGAACTTTCAGGTTTCTAGTACTTAATTTTAGAGGATGTTTATCTATCCTTATGGATGCTTTTGTCATGATTTTAGAGGAACTAATATTATGGTCAACATTTAGATATCTTCTATCTTTATTTGCCTTAATCTTAAATGTCTCTCATGCTCTTCTTTTGGTGAGTTGCTGCCTTGTCTATCTCATAATTCTTTTGTGTCTTTTCTATTATTGGGTTTATTTTGTTGGTTTTGGGCCCTGATTAGGCTGAGTCATGAAGAGGCCTTAGCTCCTTCTACAGCACCTGAGGGTCCGTTAAGCTATGGTGAGTCTCTCTCTCTCTCAGTTTATCAATTCAGAGATCTTACTCAGTTAATCTTAAAATTGTGAGTTTTTTTTCTGTCGGAATCTTACTATTTAGCTACTTAATATTGAATGGAACATTGCACTAAAGATGGAAATAATGGTTATGGTTATTCTATGATAAATCTCAGTTCTTTTTACTTACTGTTTAAGAACTAGCTTCGTTTCTTTTGTGCTCCTATTTTTTCTCTTTCCTTTCTAACGTCATCTTTTTTTTCCACTTCTTTTCTCCTCCAGCTTTTTCCTCTTTCCTTTTGTTTGTGCTCTCCCTCTATGCATTTGGATGAACAAAGAGCCATCAATTTGGGCATGTGAGGGAGACTATTATCAAAGTAATTGTTGTGTGGATGAGATTCTTTGCCATAAAATTGTTGTTCTTGTCACAAAAAAAAAAAAATTCTTTTTTTTGGGGATTTTTTATTTTGAGTCATCTGTAACTTCTTTTCCCTTTGATGCAGGCCAAAAAAAAAAAAAGAATAGAAATTGACATGAGGATAAGAAGAGGGCAATAATCACTCACACACAACACCCATTTTCTGTTTTAGTGGTTTTTGGTTCATATTGAACCAAACAATATAGATTCTCTGTTGCTTAATCCCGCCAAATAACATGGGTATTTCCCTTGCATTATAATCTTCCTTACTCTTGATGAATTGTTTAGTGTGTTTATCGGGCTGGATGAGGTTTTATTTTGTTTGGAGTTGGGTTTTTCATAATTATTCTGATAATTCAATTAAATTTGATGTTTGTCTACTTTTGGGGACATTGTTTGGTTTTCACCCATAATGTTCTCGTTCTCAAAGGGAGAGTAGCTATTTAGGAAGTCGATCAAATGCCCACTCTTTTTCTATCTTGTTTACTTGCTATCAGTAACTGCTATTGTCTACCGAAAGAAAAGTTAGCTCTAATGAACTCATGGCTTTAATGATTAACATTCATATAATAAAAATATTATTAGTTCAAGGATTCGAAATGCTTTTAGCCCATGGATATTAGTGAAAACTTATAAACAATGTTTGATAAATGCCTGACTTTATGAGTAGGCCTAATTACAGGATTCTTTTTTACATTGAATATCATGAATTGAATGGATGTAATTGGTGATAAATAGTGTTTAGATAAATTCCTACTTTATGAGAAGTAGGCCTAACTAAAGGATTCTCCTTTACTTTGCATACCATCAATTAAACTTTTTCCTGTCTTTGATTTTTTTTTTGTTTTATCTTTTTGAGGTTTTGTTTTTGTTTTTTTTCTCCTTGAGGACATCTTGAGTGTTGCCCTCTTAAGTTTTGCACTTGATTCTTAACAATATGAAATATTTTTTCTTATAAAAAAAGACGAGTAAGCCTGGTAATATATTTATTAAGAAAAATAGTAATAAGTTAAGATCAATATGAGAAAATAAGAATAAGTTAGGTTGATTTTTATACTAACAAATTGATATCACCAAAATAAACTGTGGTGTTTTAACACATTTTTTTTTGCTTCGTATAAATTGTTAATGAGCGTAAATTTTCAGACATTCTGTTACGTCCGATGTTCCTTTCATTTGTGCCATTGAAATAAATTCTTTCAATGTATAAAGAGGAATGGGACGAAACGTTTCATCCACGTTTTTATTTATTTGTTTTTTCATTGTCTACATTCGTTTCTGGGTTCTAGTTTGGTGCATTTGACCCTCTTTCCATGTTCCTTGACGTGTTCTTCACCACTAAGAACTATCTCTCTACATCTCTTTCTAACGTACCTTGATTTTATGCTAGGAAACCATCACTCTCGAGGTCCAGAGCAGCACACCATCAACAATATCAAGGCCATGACCTAGGTATAAATTTTATTGTTTTAATTTGGGATTCTACTTGTTTGGATGGAAAATCATTCGTTAGAAAATGATTATTAGACATTTTCATTTGAAATGGGATGTTGCATGAAACGTAGAGGCTCTATTCCTGTTGTTATAGCTAAGGCTCTATATTTTTCTGGTTTGAAATTTTTTGGGCTATTGTATATATTGTTTTTAGCTTCTGAGAGAGTTTTGTTGAATTATCTTTGGATTGAGAAAGTTTGTAGAAGACAATTCTTTTATTGATCGTTTCTTTAGGTTGTTTAATTTTTATTTGTTTTCTCAGTTTTTTAAATGACTTGTGTATGTGTAGCTGTGTTATTGTTTTTTTATTAGTATTAATGTCCTTTTATTTGTTTTCTAATATACAATTCTAGGTATTTATTTTCTTTTTTCTCCGCCGCCTTCTCCTTCTTGAGCCATGTTTGTAATAGGGATCTTGTTAATTTTGCTTCTATCTCTTCTTGATTTTATCTTCTTAATGCTTGTTTTTTTTTTCTTATGCTCAGTACTGCCAAATAACATGGGAATTTCCCTTGCATTGTAATCTTCCTTACTCTTGATGAATTGTTTAGTGCGTTTATTGGGCTGGATGAGGTTTTATTCTTTTGGAGTTGGGTTTTTCATGATTGTTCTGATAATTCAATTGAATTTGAAATCTGTGTGCTTTTAGGGACATTGTTTGGTTTTCACCCATAATGTTCCCGTTCTCAAAGGAAGAGTAGCTGTTTAGAAAGCCGAACAAATGCTCACTCTTTTTCTATCTTGTTTACTAGCTATCAGTAACAACTCTTGTCTACCAAAAAGAAAAGCTTGCTCTGATGAACTCATGGCTTTAATGATTAGCATTCATATAACAAAAATATTACTAGTTCAAGGATTAGAAATGCTTTTAGCCCATGGATATTAGTGAAAAGTTATAAACAATGTTAGATAAATGCCTAACTTTATGAGAAGAGGCTTGATTACAGGATTCTCCTTTACTTTGAATATCATGAATTGGATGGATGTAATTGGTGATAAATAGTGTTAGATAAATGCCTGACTTTATGAGAAGTAGGCCTAACAAAAGGATTCTCCTTGACTTTGCATACCATCAATTAAACGTTTTCCCCGTCTTTGGTTTTTTTTTTTTGTTTTATCTTTTTGAGGTTTTGTTTTGGTTTTTTTTGTTTTTTGCTCCTTGAGGACCTCTTGAGTGTTGCCCTCTTAAGCTTTGTACTTGATTCTTAACAATATGAAATATTTTTTCTTATAAAAAATGAGGAGTAAGCTTGGTAATAGATCTATTTAAGATAATAGTAATAAGTTAAGGTCAGTATGAGAAAATAGCAATAAGTGGGGTTGATATTTATCAAACATTCTATTACGTCTGATATTCCTTTCATTAATTCCATTGAAAGAAATTCTTTCAATGCATAAAGAGGAATGGGACGAAACGTTTCATCCATGTTTTTATTTATTTGTTTTTTCATTGTCTACATTCGTTTTTGGGTTCTAGTTTGGTGCATTACCCTCTTTTCATGTTCCTTGACGCGTTTTTCACTACTGAGAACTCTCTCTACATCTCTTTATAACGTACCTTGCCCTTATCCTTGATTTTATGCTAGGAAACCATCATTCTCGAGCTCCAGAGCAGCACACCATCAACAATATCAAGGCTGTGATCAAGGTATAAATTTTATTTTATTTTTTTGATATTTTTTGCAAAGGTATACAATTTAACTGTTTTAATTTGGGATTCTACTTGTTTGGATGGAAAATCATTCGTTAGAAAATGATTATTAGACATATTTTCGGGTTATTGTATATATTATTTTTAGCTTCTGAGAGAGTTTTGTTGAATTGTCTTTGGATTTGTTTTAGTTTTTTATTTTTTATTTTTCTTCTAAATTTCTTTTTTGCTATTTTTTGTCGAGCCGACCACACCTCTGGGCGCCCGAGCCGACCGACAGGCTGAGGGCAATGGAAACAATCTGTGTAAAACAAAGCTGTGACCTATGCCCCAAAAGGGAGGGAGAGAGAGAGATCTCTCGTCAGGTTGGCGCTTGCTAATTATAAGAGTGTCATACTCAATCAATTAAGGATAGAGAAAGTTGTAAAAGACGGTTCTTTTATTGATCGTTTCTCTGGGTTGTTTAATTTTTATTTGTTTTCTCAGATTTTTAATACGAATTGTGTATGTATAGCTCTATTATTGTTCTTTTTTAATAGTATTAATGTCCTTTTATTTGTTTTCTAATATACAATTCTAGGTATTTGTTTTCTTTTTTCTCCGCCCCCTTCTCCTTCTTGGGCCATGGACCTTTCTTTTTCTTCCATGTTTGTGCTTCTTTGTTCGCATCTTTTTCTTATTACGGGATTCTGTTTTGTTCTAGGTTTTGATTTGTTGCTTTAATTGGGATCTTGTTAATTTTTCATCTATCTCTGCTTGATTTTATCTTCTTAATGCTTTGTTCTTTTTGTTTTTTTTTTTTTGCTCTCGTCCCTTTTTTCTTGCTTTTTTTAATGTCTTAATGCTTGGTTATTATTTTTTTTTTTTTGCTCTCGTCCCTTTTTTCTTGCTTTTTTTTAATGTTTTGGGAAGTTAGGAATTTTCTTTGTTCTTTGTTTGGATTGTAATTCTAATATGGTTTCAGATTGTATTTGCCTGTTAAAATATGTAAAGATTTGTTTTCCACAAGTTCTGGAATTTAGTCATTTACCTCCGTCGTCCTTGGCTTCACTCGGTTAAGATTTATCCGAAGTAAGCTATATGCCTCTCTTCTTCTGAAAACAAATTCTTCACGCAATACCCTAATTGACTAATTTACAATTCTACAAAAGTTCCTCGTCTTTCATCTTACTGGCCTTCTGGTATGTAAATTCCATGGACATTGGTTATTATTTTTTGGTTTATTTTTTACTTTTAAGGTTGACGTGAAAGCCATCAGTTGAGACTCAGCCCTTTTCTTTTTGTCAAGGGAAACTCTCTGCTTTGCATGTGGCTGCTTCAATTGATTGGATTGCGGTAGGTTCACATTTCTTGATTCCTCTTTACTCGTCTTGGGACAGATGTTCTTTTCAATTTTTTTGTCTTTTCTTTGTTTCTTGGGAAAGTATTTTCATGCTGATGATGAGTTTTTCTGGGCTTTGTGTGGTTCATCTTCTTTCCATGCTTATGGATGGGTTTGGTCCTGCTGGTGTTCTTAATCGCCACAAACAGGTATGCATGAATATTCTAGTCACCTTTTTACATGTTTCTGAACTTCTAATTGGATAGAACATCTCAAACACTTTCTTTTGATTATCCATCAATACTCAAAATTTGCAGAGTGGTTAAGGTTAAAAAAAAGAACTTAATTAACGTTATAAAGGGCCTAAATTTTCTTTTAGTTCGGGGGATTTATTTACTGTCTTAATTGGGTTTGTTTTATAATAAATAAGTCTTTTTGAGGCTGATTTTGTTTTACTAACCGATGATTTTGTGAGTTTTTTGGTTATTAGATTGATTAGTTTCAAAGTTTTTTTGAGATCAGCTTCAAAGTTTTTTTTGATACACTGCCTTGTCCGTAATGAGGATTCTAGTCTTTTTGAGGCCTAAATATTTGTTACGAAGATATGTGGTCGAGTGTAATCTACTAAAGCCAAAATCCCAACTTATCATGTCTATTCAGAAAATGAAATCCTGTTTTGAGTAAACAAAAAACGAGTTTTTTTTCTTTTTCTAGTGGATTGTGATTCTACCAAGTGGCTATAATGTTAGAGGAGAGTATTAATGCTAATACGAAAAGGATTTTCTCTGTGTTTAGGATTCTCTCTCTTTTTTTTTTTTAATTTTTTTCAAGCTCATTACCCTCTAATAAGAATAGGAAAAACTATTGTGAATGAGTTGAAGCATATTTTTCTTTTCTTTTATGCATGTTTTTTACAGCAAGTTGTCAAGAAATGATTCAAAGGTATACAGTATTAGATTTAAAAACATTATTGGTGCTACCATTATATGCAGGTAAGCTTGTGAATTTATTTCTTTTAGTTATCTTTTCTTTTATCTTTTTCAGCTCTAAAAGCAATGAAAAGATTGAGTGCAATGACCACTGATGATGCAAGGATTCATGAAAAAAACATTAACTCAAGAAAAATGTATGTAAAGCATAATGTTTATCGCTACAATCTAAACTCATATTATTATTCATATGAAAATCTCTGATATGTAACGACCTATATTTTCATATGGTTAATTTGATTGTTGATTTTATTATGGTTAAGATTTTTTGAATTAAATTTTGTTTTGACAAGTTTTTGTCTAGAATTCTCTCTTCGACCTTGTATATTGCTCAAATTTTTTATCGTTACAATCTGAACTCATATCATCATTCATTTGAAATGTTTTTTGAGCATTTGGAAAATTTTGGATTTACGATTTTCCTTCATGATATGAGTTCTAGAACAAATAAAATTTGTGAAAACTAACTTTTAGTTTGACTTTTAATTTTTTTTTTTTGGGAATTATCTAAGGCTTATTTTTGGGTCAAGTCTATTTTCCTTGTTTGGGGCCAGGAATTTTTTTTTCTTTTTTTTTTTTTGGGCCCTTAGGCACATTTAGGAGCTCTAGAACATTGTTGCTCGTATTGTGTCATTTCTTTTTCTTACAATACGGTGCAAACACCCATTTCTCCCACTCTTCTGTCCTCTCCTCTCATGTAGCCACCAACAACCGCAAGAGCCCTAGTTCCCCCATTTGCTCTTTCTCTCCTTACTGTGCAACCTCCGAAGATCAGCTAAGCCTCAACTCCGGAAAAAAAAAATCTAATAAGAACATCAAGAAGATAGTGGCTGGCTGCGTCTGCTTTACGTCTTTGTATGCATCAATTTATTGAGACTTTGATCCACCCTCTCCACCCTCTTCAATGCCATTTCAAGTTAGTTTATGCCTCTTTGTTTTCCTTTTCGAATGATTAATCGGTTGTCGATTTGGGTTTTGAACTGATTGTTGTTGTCATCAGAAACTACTGGTTTCTTAATATCTCTTTGGGTTTCAATTTCGAGTTCTTTTTGTTCTATGTCTTGAAGTTGCTTCGATTGGTGTACCGGGTTTTGTTTGTGATTTTTTTTGAGGTCAATGAGATAGTTGTTGCCTTGGATTTTAATTCCCCGGGATTGCTCTTCATTTTTGTATTTTTCCTTGCTGTATCCGTTGGGCTTAAACCAAGTAGTGGTTGTGATTAGGGATGACAATATTCCCCACGAGGATCGGGCCCCGCCCCATATTAATGTGCAACCGTGCAATAAAAATTGAAGCTATAAGGAATAAACAAGAAAGGATAATTTATGTTTAAATTTTGATGTTTTTAAACTTTTTTCGCTTATATGTTAGTTATTACCGTTGTATTCAGTTTGCAATATGTTAGGAATTTAGTTTTTTTCATGGAACCTTTAATTTTGGTATAAATTATAATGAATTTCTACTCTATTTCTATTTTAAGTTGCTATTATTTTGAAATGTATAGTCCTATATGACGGGGAATGGGGCGGTATGGAGAAGGCTCCTCCAATGGGGAATCCCCGACTCCAACCCCGCCCCTCCTTAAGCGGGTATGGGGATGGGGATGGGGATGGGGATTGTTTAGGGTAGCGGGGATGGGGATGGGAAGTCATCCTCCGCCCCCACCCCACCCCATTACCATCCCTAATTGTGATGATTTAATCAATTTTTGTGACTTCAGTCGTTCCTCTACTTACTAAAGAGGTCTGCGTGATCAACTTTCCTTTTCTATTTCCAAATCTTCCTTTTCCCAATTCTTACTTGCTTCTAGTTACTTTTTCTGTCACCTACATTCCATTCTTCTTCTACTGAAGATTGTTTTTAAAGTGTTTGTTACTATGTCTTAGTAAATGCTTTACTTTGCTTATGAAATCCTAAGGTGAATTTTGATTAATTGAATTATGTTCTTATACTTGCTTCCTTTATCGATTGTGAAAAAGGGTCCTTTGAATCTTAGGCATGTGTCTCTACAAATAATTATATATATAAAACTGTTTTTGGGTTCAATCAAGAAGAAGGATTTGTTTTCCTCACTATTATTCCTTTCTAGTAGTTTCCTTCCTGGCGAAAGACGACAACTTGAACCTCCTTATTGTTGTTGATCTTTAAGATTTGTAATGATGTGTTGACTTAAGGAAGTTTCATTACCTTGATTGTTTATTTTGAGTTATTTCATGGTTTAGAGAAGGTGGGTATCATTCTTTAAAAGTTTTGTTCTATACGCAACTTATACCTTTCATTATCTAACGCTATTGAAATTTTGTTTTTGGTTTCGTTTGATGAATTTTGCTGGTCTTGGTGTTCTGTTACTTCATTGTTCAGGGCATGAAACTCCTCCCTTATGTTCTCGGTATAGACATCTAAAAGTTCATGTCTTACGCATCCTTGTGTGAGTTCCGAATATTATCTTGAAATGACAAGTTCATGTCTTAGGGTAATATTTTCATTTTCTTATTCTTTTGAAATTGTTTCAAATTATTTAAATGTCAAATTTATATTATCTTCAATTAAATCTCTTTAGTGACTAACACTTATGTTGTGGCGTTACAAATAAGAGTTTTAATCACGACGAATAAACATATAAATGACTAGATTTTCAAGATTTACTTATTGATATCTATTATAGGTGTGGGTGTAAATTATTTTTT